CCTGGGTCTTTCTCTTTCTCCTTTCTCTGCACTATCCTTGTATTCGTGCGCAGACCCTTGATCATCCTCAAGATGGCACACTTCCTACGGGGAAAGCAGACAGGAATACAGAAAGATTTCTCCGACGGTCTCTCACCAGATCTCTTCGCCCTCGATGATGTATGTCTTGGCTGCCCTAGGCACCGATATTTTCCCATTTGAGCCATCTTGTTGACCTCAATTCTACTTGCAGTACGCTCGGTGTGGTGTGAACTCGCAAATAAGTGTGCTTGCATATGATCCCGTCCAGTCTCTTCTGGCCGTAGGTACCAGCGACACCCAGTTCGGCAGTGGGCAGATCTATGTGTTTGGACAGCGCAGGGTTTCCGCTGTCTTTTCCTTGCCGCGGAAGGCATCTGCCAAATTCCTCCAGTTCTGCGCCGACAAGTTGATCAGCGTCGACTCGAAGAGTGAAATTACTATTTTCTCACTTGAGACTCAGAAAGCGCTGGTTTCGTACGCTCCGCCGAGCCATGCCACCGCCCTATTGACAGATCCTAGTCTGGACTATGCCTTCATTGGTCTACAGAATGGTGTGTGGGCATATAGTCACTTCTTATGAATGTTTCTTCTAAGCGCTCTTTGCAGGGGACATTATTGCCTATGATCTCGACAGGGAGTCCTTGACACCGTTTAGAGTACCTAATCTCTGGGCCGAGCGCAATCCGCGGGCGCGACTGTGTCCGGTCCTTTCTCTGGCCTTTTCACCTCGAGATATTGGCAAAATACTGGTTGGATATCCCGAAGGAGCCGTCACCTTCACATTCAAACAGAACATCGCTCAAAAGTACTTCCAATATGAAATACCGCCTGGTGCAGTTGGGGGCAATTCTGAGATACCTTCCCAGGACACACGCAGACCCAAGTTGACCAGAGCGCTCTGGCATCCTAACGGTATCTTTGTTCTAACCGTTCATGACGACAACAGCCTGGTGTTTTGGGATTCGAAGGATGGCCGCAAGATCCTCGCCCGGACGATGGAGAATACACATATCGACGAACCTGGCGCCAGCCCAAACCGACGGTTTTCCACGGCTGAAGCCATCTTCAGAGAGCCTGTTACTCAAGTTGCATGGTGCGTTAAGGCCAATGGAGAGGACAGCGGCCTTCTTATTGCAGGTGGTCTGCCTAAGGCTGAGAGTAACAAGGGTTTGACATTCATAGACTTTGGATCAACTCCAAACTATCAGACGTCAACTTGGCCAATGATCACCAATTATTTCGAAAATCCAAAAGAAGTTCGGAATATTCCAGCACCTCCAGGTGCAGAGGTCATCGACTTTTGCCTCATTCCCCGCTCCTCGCCATTCTATGCTGGCGCCCATGACCCCATCGCTGTGATTGCGCTTCTTTCCTCGGGAGAACTTATCACTCTAAGTTTTCCCAGTGGTCATTCCATCACACCCACGAATATGATTCACCCCTTCCTTTCTTTTGTCCACCCTTTTGTCACCAAAATTACCATGACACCTATTGACCGTTCTGCCTGGCTGGGCCTTCGGGAACGGAGATCGCAAGGCCCGAAGTTTTTGATCGGCGGTGCAGAAGGCAAAAAGGCGCTGAAACGGTTCGAGAACCGTAACATCATTACCACGGCTCACGCGGACGGAACGGTACGTCTCTGGGATGTAGGCCATGACGATGAGATCGAAAACGCGGATGTCATCCAAGTAGACTTGGCCCGCGCTGTCGGGCGTGTCGCTGATGTGGAAGTCACTGAAATGTCTGTCAGCGGGTCTACAGGCGAACTCTCAGTTGGTTTGAAGAGCGGCGAGGTCGTGGTGTTTAGATGGGGCAGTAATGGAAATTTTGGCCACGAGGAGCCACCAGGCGTAAATGAAGGAGCCGGGAAGCTAACTCGGATCACCCACAGAACTGATCCTGGGCTGAAACAAGGCATGCTTCCGCTCACCCTTCTGAATATGCAACAGGGACCCGTGACTGCTGTGAAACATAGCCATGTGGGCTTCGTTGCTGCCGGTTTCCAAAACGGCAATTTTGCCATCATGGACTTGCGCGGGCCAGCAGTCATCCATACAGCCCAGGTATCCGACTTTGCGAAGACCAGCAAACGTGGAAGTTTTCTCAAACACCGCGCTACTGAAAGCACCGTTCCGGAGTGGCCCACAAACATCGAGTTTGGTGTTTTGACTTTGGAGGGTGAAGGTAAGATCTTTTCATCTTGGGCTATGGGTGCAAGCGGATACTGACCGTTTATAGACTATTCAAGCATCTGCTGCTTTGTAGGCACCAACAGAGGCAACTTGGCAACCTTCAAGATCCTGCCCGGGAACGATGGAACCTACACGGGTCAATTCGCCGGAGTAACTCAGCTCGATGACAAGGTGCTGAACATCATACCCATTGATGCGGATCAGGGTAGCCCTGTGCTAGCCACAGCCAGCCTGGTTGCAGGCCTCAGAACTGGCGCCAAAATTAACGGAGTCGTCATTGCTGTCACTGTTTCCGGCTGCAGGATTTTTAAGCCTGCAACATCTAAGGGCGCTCACAAGTCCTGGGATGACTATCTCTGCGATGCCGCCGCCGTCGTCAAGACAGAAGGCCGTGGTTATAGTCTTGTTGGGCTCTTCGGCGATGGTAATGCTAGGGCTTTCTCCATCCCTGGTCTCAAGGAAATAGGCTGCACTAGCATCAATCAAATTGCCGACATGAGACGCCTCTCGGACTCAACAGTCTGCGCAGACGGTAGTGTTCTGACCTGGACGGGTCCCTCGGAAGTGGCTGTATTCAATGTTTGGGGCTCTGGAACCGGACTGTATGGACCTCCATCCCTCGATCATCTGTTTGTTGAACGAAAAGGATGACTAGCTGACAACTACGATAGACGACCATCAGACAATCGGCTCTTCAACCCACAGGCAGCCATTCCTGCACGTCCCACAATTACGAATTTGCAATGGATCTCCGGCACACAATATGTGTCCCCAGCCGACATGGATATTCTGAGTACGTGCATCCGTTGCAACTGCGATGACAAATCTGGATATCTGTACTGACATTTCCGCCACTACAGTCGGGGGCCCAGACCGGCCTCCATCAAAACGAATGCAGGAACAGATGCGACTCGATGACCAAGAGCGGCGCCGACTCGCACGAGACGGGAGAACCGGGTCCAATCTATCGCAGGCGTCGACAGGAAGTCAAGAGGGCTATTGGTCTTATATGACCCGTCAAGTCCAAGAACGAACGGAGCGACTAGGCATTGCTGGTGAGAGTATGGACCGGCTGGAAGAAAACAGCAGCAATTGGGCCCGGGACGTCAATAAATACGTGCAGAACCAAAAGAAAAAGGCGATTCTCGGCGGTAAGTCTTGTTAGACTTAGGAATTGCGCGAGTCTGCTAACGGAATGAACTAGCATTGGGGTCGAAATTTGGCCTGTGATGTCGTACTCTCATGAAGTGGAGGAGAGCTCCCGCACTTTTATACACATCTTGCCGTTCTTACAACTAAATACCCAATTTACTGCGTTTGTTCGGACTATGATCACCCACTACAATTAAGCTCGGCTTATGCGTTGTAGATATTGGATGAGCGAAATCCAGGAGCCTCCATCGGCAATACTAGCACGATAGATCTTCAGAGGCATCCTTGGCCCATGTGTCAACCTCACCAAGCCAATATGCCACTCCCCTAGATCCAATATTCGTGGGGAATATACCTAATCCCCCACCTCTTCTCATATTCCTTCCAGAGCCCCACCAAATCCTGTCTATATTGCTCCTTGGCTTCAATCCTTTGAGCATGCAAGCGATGCAGTTCCAGCGTGATCGTCGCAGGATCCAGTCTATTATTCTGCACAAGGTCGATCATCGTATTTAGTTCGCCAAGCCGCACCATCAAAGCCCGGTGCAGTTTTCTCGACCGGTGCTGGTCTGCTGTCTTGTGGCAGTGTCGGCAGAGGCAGGCGAAGATTCCATCATTCGAAGTAAGGTCTTCGGGCGATTTGCTGCTCCGATGCTTGCAGGAGAATCGGGGCATCGTAGATTTACCTTTGAGGCTATTGGGAGCTGCAGCCGGGACTTTTGCTGGTAGAAGTCTGGACGGGAGAGTGGATTGTCTTGGTAATATACTGAGCCGTTTAGTATCATAGGCAGTTATCCCTGTATGATGGTCAAGGTCATAGGCAGTCCGCAATGTCGTGTTAATCTACAGAAGTGAATAATAGAAGGATGCAATGGGTTATTTTATATATATCTATACAAAGAAGGCTGAATTGGAGCTACGCAACAAGCGGCGATTTCATTATGCTCCGAGACAGATATTGAAGCTATTCAAGCGACGCATTGCGATCTTTGAGCTCCTCCAATTAGACGGTGGTTATTGAGGTGACGTGACTGCTATAGGCCTAGATGACAATGCTGAACTTGTTGCTTTCTCCTTCAGCGCCCACGGAGGTTGATGGGTGTGTTTAGTAACCTCTTTAATTCGTGTCCAAGCTGGAAAGCGGACTGTTCACGGATTTCGCTTTATTGTACTTAGACCACAAGGTGAAGGCCATTGCTTGAAATAATCTCTTTCGCGAGATTGGTGCGAAGAGGATTGGCAGAGTGTCATCGCCCAACTTCAGTAACTGGACAACGGTCAACCATCAGGAGCGAATACCTTGCATACAGAGTTGCTGTGGGGACAGAAGTGTCGCCAGGGCCACAGCAATCCTGCAGAAACTATGTTCATAGCAAAAAGGAATGTATAACTATAAACCGTGGACGTGCGTATCCCTGGTTTGGTCCTTGCTTGAGCGCAGTATCCGAATTAAGAAAGATGCGGTGTGATATGTTTTCTCAAATTATGCGGTTTCTATATTTTATAAATAATTGCTGCAAAATCAGAGAACATGGCCGAGACGAATAGCTTCGGTCGTCGTAAGCGTTGTAACACAATCGTAAAATCATGCGAACTGAGGATATTCCAAAATACGAGCGGTAAACTGCGAAGTATTTAGTGCACCATGATGTCCTGATGTTGATGATGCCCACTGGCGGTATTGGTATCTTTCGATTCGGTGTCGTCACCCATGTCTACATCTTCATCGCGATCTCCACCCTCTTCGTCGTCAAGGTCGTCCTCTTCATCGTCGCTTTCATCCTCGATATCCTCACTCTCTGCGTCAGAGATGTCTTCTTCCTCGTCATCCTTGCCTACTGTTTCTTCCGCCCCTTCCATCTCGTGATCACCGCCCTTGGTAACATCTCTTTCAGCCTCTTCGAGTTCTCTGACAAGTGCAGCCTCGAGTTCGGCTTCTTCAGCGCCGTAAGCAGCGCCGTCGTCCTCCAGATCAGCTTCGGGTTGGTCAGGTGGGTATTCGGCTGGAGCATCCTCCTCAGAATCCCTGGAATAGAAAGAGTAAGTTAAGGTCGTTGAACTTAAAAAAGGGGGAATGCCTTACCACTTGATAGCGAATCTGGTCACTCTTGGCTTCTCAGCAAGGATATTTCGGCGGATCCTTTCAATAATGGGCTTGGCGGGAGGGTCCTGGGTGAGCTCTTCTGAGTCGTACTCGTTGTTCACATAGTATCCAACACGAACGAATTCTCTGCCGTCATAGCTGCAAGTGAGCAGAATCACAGTGACACCGAGAATTTCTGAAGTAGGGATTCGCTTCAGGTCAGGAGCGTCGGCCTCGAAAAGGAACTTGTTGACACCAACGGGGATGGGTCCGACGAGAAGAGAGTCGAGTTCCTGGTCATATTCGGAACTACTCAGGTCAGCAACAGCAAACCCACATTTGTCTCCTGGCGGCCTTGACTTACGATGTAGCAGAGCCGACGTAAGTGAGCTTCCATTCCAAGTCTGGCAACTCAGTTGTTAGTGACTCTGAACCTAGCCGTAAATAACGTCTTAAGTATGTCACCTTTCTGGAGCTGTTCGAGGCACTCGAAGGTGATCTCGAATTGATAAGGAGCAAGAAAAGGGGCGGGATTGTTAACAATCTTGACCCCGAGAAGCGAGACGACGGACATGGTATGTGATAGCGTTAGAGGTCAGGAAACTTTTTGGTTGGAGGATATGGGCCTCAGAGAGAACGAGATATGTAAAACGCACGAGGCGATGGGTGTACAAAAAGTAAACACTATTGAACAAGGAGAAGCTGGGAAGAAATAATAAACACAGTTTCCATCGAGGGGGATAAATCATGCAAGTCGCAATTCCCAACCGAAAGAAGTAAGTAATTACCCCGACGCGCTGCCCTCGCGTCCCTCATCTCTGTCGCGCCTCACCGCCTACATCACGTGACTCTGCTGCTATGACATCTGCAGCTTCTGCTAACAATTCGGTGCGACAGCCACCTCTAGCAGCCCCATGTGGGAGTTTCTTTGTCCTGCACATTTCGGTTCCTTTTTTGTCAGCAGACGCTGATCTTTCTCATTTGCATTTTCAGGTGTTGTCCTTGAATTCTTCCTGGCCAATTACTAAAAATTTTCCTCATTTGTAGGTGAGCGACTACCGCAGATCTTCCAGGTCAACTTACTGATCGCACCCTGCTTGACCAGGCCATTCGTTTGCAGCCATTTTGTCTTGTCGCGTTTGAGATCTTCGTAACCTGTCATGGCTGAAGAAGATGCTGAGAAAGCCTTTTTCCAGGCTCAGGCTATGAATACGGAATCTGTGGACTATAAAGCTGTTGAAGAGCATGGTGCAGATAGTTCAGATTCAGATGATTATGATCCTTCAAAAACACTCCAAGACCAATATTCTTCCTCCTTGACAGATCTCAAGCAAAGTGAAAATGTTTCTTCCAGTGCCTCTCCAGAGCCAAATCCTACTGAGCAAAATTCTGTTCCACCAGATGATGATCCTAGTCAACCGGGTGGTACATCCTATCCTTCTCAGACCCCCTCACGAGATGAGTCTCGGGCTTCCACTACGGTACCAGCATCCGGTACATCTGTGCAGCCGAAGACCAGGACAATCGGAGGATTTGTGGTTGAGGATGAAGACGAGGACGATGTGGGTGATGCTGATTATGAGCCCCCTGCGGTACTTGGTGTTGAGGACATGAATACTGTTGCTACGAATGTGCCTCAGCAATCCGTCTCAGGAAATGAAAATGAAGCTTCTTCTACCCCTGATGTATCCCTGGATGATGCTGCGCAACAGTCTGCCAGCCTGAACAATGTTTCCAATAGCTCTTACTCTCCTGCTCCTGCTGTTGCCCCTAAAAGTGATGTGGCTGTTGCCGCTGGACAGAGTTTGTACAACTCACATGCTTTACAGTCCGGAAATATGCAAGACAGCGCGGCGGCTTCTCCTACGCCGGATTCTCCTTCGACCTCGAAAGGTCGCTTGCCTCACGACCGAGTCGGCATCTTGGAAGACCGAATTCAAGAGGATCCTCGTGGCGACATCCCTGCCTGGCTCGAATTGATCAATGAACACAGAAGCCGCAATAGAATTGACAGCGCGCGTGATGTCTTTGAACGGTTTTTGAAGGTTTTCCCCTTTGCTGTGCGTACGCTCAAGTCACCTCGGCATCAATGAGTGAAAGCTGACCGATCTTAGGCCGAACAATGGGTGGCGTATGCGAAGATGGAATCGGAACTCAACGACCTTTATCGGCTTGAGCAAATCTTCAATCGAACCCTTCTAACCATCCCTGATGTCCAGCTGTGGTCGGTATACCTGGATTACGTCCGCAGGCGCAATCCCTTGACAACGGACACAACTGGACAAGCGAGGAGGATCATCTCGTCCGCTTATGAGTTGGCGTTTCAGCACGTCGGCATGGACAAGGATTCGGGTTCAATCTGGTCGGATTACGTTCAGTTCATTAAATCGGGGCCAGGCAATGTCGGTGGCTCTGGTTGGCAAGACCAGCAGAAGATGGACCTGTTACGGAAGGCATATCAGAAAGCCATTTGTGTTCCAACTCAAGCTGTTAATACTCTCTGGAAAGAGTACGACCAATTCGAGATGGGCCTGAATAAACTTACAGTAAGTTTGAGCGACTCTGCGGAGCTTCTGCACTTTCTAATATCTTCCCCCGCTATCATAGGGTCGTAAATTCCTTCAAGAGCATTCACCAGCCTATATGACCGCTCGTAGCTCATATACGGAGCTACAAAATATCACAAGGGATTTAATCCGCACAACGTTGCCTAGGTTGCCCCCTGTGCCGGGTTCTGATGGTGATATTGAGTTCACCCAACAGGTTGATATTTGGAAGCGTTGGATCAAGTGGGAAAAGGGAGATCCACTTGTGTTGAAAGAAGAGGATCCTGCTGCTTTCAAAGGCCGCGTTGTTTATGTCTACAAACAAGCTCTCATGGCCCTGAGGTTTTTGCCAGAGATGTGGTTTGATGCGGCCGAGTTCTGTTTTCTGAATGATCTGGAGAATGAAGGAAATGAGTTCCTCAAGCAGGGCATGGAGGCTAACCCTGAGAGTTGTCTTCTTGCCTTCAAGCGTGCGGACCGACTGGAAATTACGTCGGAGTCTGAGCAAGATCCCATCAAACGAGGTGCCAAGGTTCGGGAACCCTACGATAAACTACTTGATTCTTTATACGATTTGATTGCGAAAGCACGCACGAGGGAAGCTCAAGACGTCGCACGCCTTGAAGAGACTTTTGCAAAGATGAACGCCGACAATCCTCCTGCCAAATCTGACGATGACGATGACGATCAGAGCGAGTCAAAAGCAAGAGAATCAGTTAAAAATGCGCAGATCGATGCTGTTCGCAAAGCACACGCCATACAAATCGGCATTCTATCTAAGACAGTCTCTTTCGCCTGGATTGCTCTCATGCGTGCCATGCGCCGTATCCAGGGCAAAGGTAAGCCCGGGGAGACGCCTGGCTCCCGACAAGTGTTTGCCGATGCGCGCAAGAGAGGTCGCATTACTAGTGACGTCTACATTGCCAGCGCCCTCATTGAGTACCACTGCTATAAGGACCCTGCGGCCACAAAGATTTTTGAGCGTGGTGCTAAGCTCTTCCCGGAAGATGAGAATTTTGCACTCGAATACTTAAAGCATTTGATTGATATCAACGATGTTATCAGTAAGTTACTGCTGTGTTTCTAGTGTAATTCGATTCCTAATCCGTCTTCCAGATGCGAGGGCAGTGTTCGAGATGACGGTCAGGAAGTTGGCGTCTAACCCGGAGAACGTTCATAAGACCAAGCCAATCTTTGCATTTCTTCATGAGTACGAGTCCCGATATGGCGACCTGGTCCAGGTGATCAACCTCGAAAATCGGATGCGTGAATTGTTTCCTGAAGATCCTACCTTGGAGCAATTTGCTCACCGTTATTCGACTCCTGCTTTCGACCCGACCGCTGTGCGGCCGATTATTTCGCCGTCTCAGATGCGACCAAAGGCAGCCTTCCCTACAATAGAACAACCAATGTCCCGCCATGGCACCCCCACGCCGAGATATCCAGGCTCTGTTACAGACTCCCCTAAACGACCACTGGAGGACTTTGACGACGACTACAATCGGCCACGCAAGTTTGTGAGGGCCGAATCACCTTTGAAGACCACTCAGCGGCGACAACTGGATCAGCAGAAGCGGTCACAACTCAGTGGTGTCCAGACTGGATCGCAATTCAGATCTCAAGGCTCACCGGCTCCATTACCTCGCGATATTGTTCATCTCCTGAGCATCATCCCTCCAGCCTCCGCGTACACGGCCGGTAGATTCTCCCCAGAGAAATTGGTCGATCTCATTCGTAGAATCGAGATGCCGGGCTCCATCTCCCAGATTCCTCTTCCTCAGTCAGCTCGGGGCCTCGGAGCTACGCAAACACCAATGCAACCATTTTCTGGTAAGGCTTCTCCTTTCGCTTTCCCATTCGAGCTGTCTACTAGTCGCACCGTCTGGATGGCTAACACAATTGATCTTCCAGGGATGTACCGGTAGTGTTCTTTTTCTCGGCTGTTCCCTCTTCGAGATGGAAGGGCCTTGGAGACAGCCTCTGATGTCGAAACTCGCCTTACGAAATCTTCTTTGGACCCAAAGCTACCATTTCCACAAACTTCCTTCGAACTGTTTGACGAGACGTCGTTATAGCTTCGACCGCAAACCTCATATGAAACATCTTTGGCAGCTAAAGTTTGGACTTTCTCTTGGTTGAATGCATCTTCGGATCAGGTCTGGATTGTACAGTTGTTGAAGGCATGACATATTACTAATGGCACATGGAGTCCCTGATGATCGGATAATCCTTTTCTTTTACAGATTGCATCAGCCCTCAATCAATTCTCGAGTTCACAAGATTGTGTTCATGTCTCTTCCCGAGGGTCAATGTCAATACCCATAATGCAAAATCATATTGTTATGTTTCTCCACGTATACACCATTAATCCTTGGGGTTCGCTCCTTCATGTTTCTACAATAACCCACTCCTTTGGCTGAACGCCCCTAGCGTGTGCCTTCAAGCAGTAAGCCCGTCTTCAGCTTGGACTAGGAATCAGCGACTCTTGATGTATGGAATGGCCTCTGATATCCCTCCCAACCGTAACATCGCAAACCATGATTTCCCCGACTGCGACTCCTTTTGCCTCGCAAGGCCTGTATTCTAAAAGAGACATGATCCTGTCCACCTCCTGTAAGCTCAGCCTTGACTCGGTTGGCCTTCAAGACTTGTGAGACTCGCGTAGGGAATGCCTCCAAGATACCCAACTCCCGCATGTCACATCAAACCACGCTTTCGGGATGTACTGCAACGAGTTCGGGACGCTCCGACGATTTGTAGGTACATAAGGAGAAAGGTACGTCTTACGGTCACAAACTGAGACTCGTATCATATACTGAGGACATTCTGAAACAGGCATTGGCTAGCACCACAAAACAAAAGAGCATCTTTGAAGTCGCCATATAGAAATAGTATGTGGGTTTCATTCTGTTATTCATACCTTTTAGAAAGCACATATCTCAATTTCCTCTGTGATCAGAAAATACTTCATCTTACCTTTTATTCTTATCATATCAACTTCAGCTCGTTGCTTTTGCGCAAAGCCCTC